AGACAGCATTTTGTCCAATACTGTAAATATAAATGTAACAAGAAACTGGAAAAGACGGATTGGTCGAAGGCTGTGTAAAATGAATATCTGATTAAAATACTGCAAAGAAAGCCATTGTTTTTAATTGTCACCCGTTCTATCTGCTCGGAGCAGCAGCTGTATACATACAAGTACTATTGGAGTAGGGGGAAAAACACAAGAGCTATACGGTAAAACAAAATGTTCTTGAAAAAAAAAACATACTGAATTTCAAATTCAGCTAGGCTGATGTAGCATTTTAAATGCTTTCCTTTACCCATAATTACATTGGTTACAAATGAACAAATTCTAGCTAGGCGGAGGAAACCTTGGTTGAAAAAGAAAAAAACCTGCTGTATACTGTATTTATTGACTATAAATCTAAGACGTAAATGGCAAGGATTTGGCACCGTTGAAACGCCTACAGGTCCGTTGTTTGTCAGTTGAGTGAATTCTGAGTTGTTTTTTTTTTTTTGTTTTTTTTCCCCAGCATTTTCATAGCAATGTATCATTCGATTCATGACCATAAAAGCCTGCTTTTCAGAATGCTGCTAGGGCACTTTCTATATCTGTGTGAAACCTGAACCTCGGGACTGACAGCTACTGTGACCAATAGCAGGAGGACATTTGCAGTGAGGAAGTGGTCTTAATGCATTTGGAGTTTGAAAGCGCACACGCACACACGCACATATACACATACTGGATTAATTAAGATGACTGTGTTGGCGCTGACTGTGCAGACAATTTTTTTTTTAGCATTTCTTTTTTTTTTTTTTTTTCTCTATTTACACATTTGGATTTGCAGGTTGTTGGTTGCCAGAAAGCAATTCATTTTTAGCAGTGGCACATTTATTGAAGTGCAAAATTACCAACCCTGAATCAACCTACGTAGTAGTGATTCCAGGACTTTACCGTAACCCTAGTTAACCTACGGGCAGAGCTCAGTAAGGCCAGTTAGCATCTAAGCTATTGAAGTAGCAATCGATCAGTATAAATTTCTTCTATCACCAGTTTCACAGGTGTGTCCAAGAATCGGCAAACATCACTGAAATATAATTTAAGATATTCAGTTTTCTCTGTCTCTGTCACACATACCTGTTTACTTTTTTACCCTACGACACACAAATCTACAGTTTCCAATTTTCCTATAAAGACTCACCAACACCTACACCCTTGTGTTTATCCCCAACCAACTGTAGCTGCAACCCTAATTTTAACCTTCTCCAGATCCTATTTCGATTACAATCTTGGTAGACAACCTTTATGCATCTTTGAACTCTTGACATGCATCGATACCGTAGTAAATTGAGGATAAGGGGGCAAATCTATAAAGCATTACATTGCATTCCAACCGACGTTCATCAGCTCCCTAGGAGAATGTGACCTCTCGACCTTTTACTGCTCACTATTACCAAATTTAAAACTTCATCCAGTGTAAATCATATTACGTTAGCAGGCAGAAATATGGGTCTCCAGTAACTCGTCCATCCAAAAAAGCATCTTGTGTTAATTATAGCGGCCAAGAAGCCACACCAGCACCGAGGACTATTTTGGTGATGTGGCGAACTCAGTATCCGCTGACAACTGAAGTGCTGCATGTGTCAATCACAGAGTAGAGCTGAGCCGGCAGTGTTAGAGCCAGGACTTCCAGTGCTGGCTCTGAAATTATGTCATATGCAGAAAACATAATCTCACCTCTCTATTATCTCTTTTTCACTTTCACCTTATTTACTGAGGTCATGTGACATCACTGTCCTTTAAAGTTTCAAATGTAGCTTAATTTGCTCCAATCTTTAATTATTTAATGGTGTTAATCTTAGATTTAGTTTTAAACCCAACCTTGTTAGCTATCTTTAATCATTTCTATATTTTCTTAATGCTTGTTTTTCCTCGTCTTTAAAGTCAGCTCGTAATCACGCCCCAATTTCAAGATCAAGAAGTAGAAGCACGGAGGAAACTCGGGTCAAATCTCTGGTATAAGTAAGACTCTCCCCCGTAATACATATTTTTGAATATTGGCCCCAAAAAAAAGAAAGAAAAAAAAAAAGAAAACAAAGTTGAAGTACATGGTACGTGCAAATAACTGTTCTCTGTCCCTCAAGTTCAAGTTGAAGTATACAAATAACTGTTCTCTGTCCCTCAAGTTGCCCGTTATTTACACGTTATATAAAATAAAAGCAATCGTATAAAAGAATAATAATAATAAACAAATGATACGTTCTAATGTACAGGTCAAGATTGATATGAATTTACTTGTTTTTGCAGCATCGAAAAGGAACGAAGTTATCATCTTGAATTTGCGTTAAATCATCAACTTTTATATTTAGTGTCTGTTTTTTTTCCAACTGCGTGAGAAGTACCTTCACATAATAACACAGAATATACATAATATTACTCGATCGGAAGGTGCTGCTAAAGTATGTGACATTTGACGTCCAGAATGTGAATCTGTTCAGGGGCGAGTGCATATCCTATGGCCGTAAGCATGACGTCATGATGTCTCACTGTGAAGAATCGGACAAAATGCTGAGTGTCCAAGTACAGCCCAGCCTGTACTAATGAGCCTGCTGAAGGAGACGTGTGTGTTTGTGCGTGTGTGTCAGGCATCAACTTCACACACAACCACATTGACACCAACGCCTGTACACATGGCCAGAATAATTGATATCTCCAATCTTTGCAAATGAACTGGAGCCTTGTGACACATTTTGAAATTTTTTTGAAAGATTAGCAGTGAATTCGGCTAAGCTTAACCATGTTGCACATCCATACACCCTGCACCCTAAAAAAAAGGGCCCCAAACAGCAGGATCTCCTACTAAAATCTCATAATCTTTGTAAGCATGCCAAACTAAAAAAAATCCAAACTTTACAAAAACTATCCAACGAGCTCTTTAAAAAAACAAAAAATTCTATAAATTAAAATCGATACATCCAACGAGCTCTTTAAAAAAAAAATTCTATAAATTAAAATCGATACGATCACATTGACCACACTTCGCCTTCTCCACCTACCTCGAGGTTCAACTCCTCGATCTCAAATTGTCTCTGGGCGACGCGGCTGGATCCGGGGTGGTCATGGTAGTACACCACCATGACATCGTACTTTTTCATCACGGACTTGTAGTTCTTGGCGTTGAGTTCGTGCACGCGGTCCTTGCCATCGTACTCGGGAAAGTCCAGGCTGTCTTTGCTCTTTGCAAGACCCCCAAATGACAGCAGAACTGCCACAAGGACCCAGGTCCACTTCATGGCTCCTCTCTAGGGAAAGTCAAAACAAAATGAAAAAAAAAAAAAAAACACAAAACAAAAAGGGTTCAATGGCGAAAGTATAAAGAACCACTTCCAAACCGCGTCACCCAGAAGAGAGCAAGACCAACTCTTGCATCCACCTTATTAAAAACCCCACATGGGCTCGTGTAGTCGTGAGGCAAAGAGTGCGAGATGGGTTGGGCTTAGTTTGACATAGGTACGAGTGGGTGTCTATCTGGGTTGTAACTGAGCATGGGAAAGATTAGGTGGGAGCCACCGTGGTTGCTGAGGTGACAGCTTTGTTTGTTTGTCTGTATGCGCATATGTGCATGGGTGCAGGAGTCGGTGGGTTTCTCTGATTCTTTGCGTCCACAATAAAGATTTCTAAAACCCCACCAGTGACACTGAAGGGAGCTGAGGCTTGTGCAAAAAAAAAAAAAAAAAAAATGAAAAAATTCTAATAGGATTCCTGTGTCAGTCAGAGTCAGGTAGGCAGCAGTTTGAATATCGATCTTCGTCACACCCGAAAGAAGAAGGAGTGATATAGTGGATTTTAGAGCTAGCTCTGAATGTGAGTCTTACCATTTATCCATATTAAGCGTAGACATAGCGCTTGGATCCTAGCTAAAAATAATGGATGTGGGACAGAGAAGAACATATCTGGAGGGGTCGCTGGTGTCTAATTTGCTACCGCTGGCATCATCGCAGCACTAGAATGTTAAGCGGGGGTCACCCAGGGATATGGAGACAAGCAAAGTTAGACGGCGGGACTGTGGTGTCTGTCGGGAAGAAAGTGAACGCGGCTGTCTCCCGTTACTAACTCACATGACAGAATGAAATATCAATTTCATAGAATTAAGCAATTCCATTCAGCCCGAGCACGACGCATACAGTACATATAATTTCAATGACTGTATCTGATTTTTCTCTCTCAAGATTGAAAGGGAAGAGGCGGGCTATAAATAACCACTGTCTTCTTGGTTTCACAATACTTTTTTTCCCTGACCGCTGTCGAGCACAAAAATGCTTGCACATGCATGCATTAACCACCTCTCGGTTAGGTGGAGGCAAATATGATTTACAAATCATGCAAAGACATTTACCTCAGTTATGGCCACTAGCTAAATAAATAAAAGGTATAAATATTGTTTTAAAAAATAGGCAATTCTGAGGGGGCGCAGCTGAAAGAAGGTCAAAAATTTAAAGATAAATAAATATGTACATAGATAAGTACACATGGAAAAAGAGTTTCATACATTGTTGAACAACCTCAGCACTCAAAGTGTCAAGAGCTTTTCAATAAAAAAAAAAAACAAGCAAAATCTTTGCAGCTTTGCATCCTCGTACCTGCGGCAGTTACTTTTTTGAGACACCAGATGGCGACCTCTACCTCTAATTTAAATTGTATAATAATTGACGATGCTTAGTGACCTGTTCATCTTTTTGAATGACCCCGAGGCTGTAATATATATTTAAATCTGCAACCTTTGTAATATATATTTTTTTTTTTTTTTTTTTTTGCTACAGAAATGTTTGAACCAATCGCAGTGGTGGCTTAGTGGTTAAGGAAGCGGACATGGGTTCGAGTCCACTCGTCGCCAAGTTACCACTGAAACGCTCATCACCCCTTTTGTTTCTACTTTATGAACTTATTAAGAATACTGTTTTAATAACGACCTAAACCTTTTAGTAGTATTTGTATTACATGTACATTCTGTGGTTCCTCATCTAAAAAGCACCATATTTAAACGCAATTCTGCTACTCAAGAAAACATCATCAAATAGCCCACTAGGTTATAGCATAATAGTAATTGCTGACACTTTTTAAACACAATTTTTCCAAATGTTCAAAAGTTCAAAAAAGTATTTTAACAAGTAAAAAAAGGTTACCGTATATAATTCCAGCATAAAGTGAGAGAGTTCAATATAGCCTATACATAGTATAGATAGATGGATAGATAGATAGATCGATAGATGGATAGATAGATAGATCGATAGATGGATAGATAGATAGATCGATAGATGGATAGATAGATAGATCGATAGATGGATAGATAGATAGATGGATAGATAGATAGATAGATTGATAGATAGATAGATAGATAGATCGATAGATGGATAGATAGATAGATCGATAGATGGATAGATAGATAGATAGATTGATAGATAGATAGATAGATAGATAGACAGATAGATAGATAGATAGATAGACAGATAGATAGATAGATAGATAGACAGATAGATAGATAGATAGATAGAAAGATAGATAGATAGATAGATAGACAGATAGATAGATAGATAGATAGACAGATAGATAGATAGATAGATAGATATATAGATAGATAGATAGATAGATAGACAGATAGATAGATAGATAGATAGACAGATAGATAGATAGATAGATAGATCGATAGATGGATAGATAGATAGATAGATTGATAGATAGATAGATAGATAGATAAACAGATATACAAATAGATAGATAGATGGATAGATGGATAGATAGATAGATCGATAGATGGATAGATAGATAGATGGATAGATAGATAGATAGATAGATAGATGGTGGTTGTGTAGCATCTGAACAGCAGGTCAGTGGTTGTTTTGTGCTGGTAAATGGTTTCTCACTTAAAGGCAAATTCTACCTATCAGATTTTAAAAAACCATAAAAACCAGTTCAACACACAGTTTACAAATCTGATAGGTGAATTTTACATTCCTGCAGATCTTGAAGGATCTCAGACTCCTCAGAAAGTGCAGTATACTCTGGGCCTTGTGGTTTAAAATGCATTTAAGTAATACATTAAAATATACCTGAACAGTAAGTAGTGTATATATCAGGCATGGGCAAACTACGGCCCTGTGTATATATTAGGCATGGGCAAACTACGGCCCGTGGTCCATATACGGCCCGTTAGGCTTTTTAATCCGGCCCGCCGAACTCGTCCACGTCATATTATTGAATTAAATGTTATTATGACACCTCAATCATTTTACCTAGCTGTAATTCCCATCTTTCCCCAGCAGATGTCGCCAAAGATATTGACCATTGAGTGTGATGCATTACGGTTATGCATAATCTTCTGTGAGGATGGCACAGAAGATGCTGACGTTGTTTTGCTCAACCTATGTGTGTGAACAGACATTCAGTGTCATGAACATCAACAAAGCCAGTCACAGATCCAAGTTAACTGACCAACACCTCGGATCTATCCTGAGAATTGCCACAACAAATATAACACCAGACATTGATGCACTTGCAAAAAAGGGAGACCAACAACACTGTTCCCACTGAAACGGAATGTTTTTGTTTGTTTATTACTGCGTTATTAAATTAATACATTTGGAATTTTTTTCACAATAAACTCTTCACATTGGTGTTTTGCATCCTGTTTTTACATTTCATTTATATTAGTCCACACAAACACAACATTCTCCTATTCTGGCCCGGCCCCCCCTGAAAAATTTTAGAAACCATTGTGGCCCGCGAGTCAAAAAGTTTGCCCACCCCTGGTATATATTATGAGCTTCATTGGTCTTAATGTCATGGACATGGGTTGCCTATTCAGAGCCATTCAGAAATAGAGAGAAAATTTGATTATACTATAAAATATTTTAAAATGTTTTCAAATTTTCTAATTAGAATTGTGGGCACGCTATTATCATTGTTATTGTTCGTTTCTTAATTATTACCGTAACATAATACCAATAGCTAGCAACAACTAATTAGCACTTGGCTCCTGTCTTCTTTGCTAGACGTCTATATGCTATCAAAATATGCTGAATATTCTATTAAAGTAGATTTCAACAGCATAATTGGAAAAAGGATAAAATTGATTAAATTTGGTATTGTATGAATCGAAGAGGAGTAAGCCTGTGGGAGGTTTGTCCTCGGCGGCTACCGTCGTTGCGTCTGACAACAGGACAGTGCAGCGTGTGAGTTGATGTTGTTACTCTGTGACCGGAAACAGCTAGTGTTATGGCCGGTAAAGGAGGAAAACAAAACCGCTCCGGCGCTGCTATGTCAGCCGGTAAGGGGGCAGGAGGAGAAGACGAAGAAGACCAGCCACTGCAGGCGGTTTTAATCGCTGACAGTTTTAACCGAAGGTTTTTTCCTGTGACCAAGGACCAGCCGCGGGTGAGCAAAGTTGGGCTAACTGCTATGCTAACAGAAACTAGCTAGTATCATGCTGTCAACGCTGTCAGAAGCGTTCAGTAACATCACGTGCTAGCAAATCCGAAGTCTTGAGTTGCTCAAGCTGCGTTGTTTTGTATGGTGTCGTGTACCGTCTTTTTGATTTACAACTGAAACATTGCGTCACTTAATTCTATCTGTCTATATGTTCACCATTTCCATTCAGGTCCTGCTCCCTCTCGGTAACGTCGCTATAATCGACTACACGCTGGAGTTTCTCACATCCACGGGTGTACAGGAGACGTTTGTCTTCTGCTCCTGGATGGCCACGAAAATCAGGGATCACTTGCTGTGCGTTTTCGTGCTCTTTCAGTGTGAATTGCGAGTTAGTCTTCTTCGAAGTTCGAATGACTTAGAATGATTTTTACCTCTGACAGGAAGTCCAAGTGGTGTCGACCCACCTCATCCAATATAGTCCATATCATCACTTCAGACCTGTACCGATCTTTGGGAGATGTTCTCAGAGATGTGGATGCAAAGAACCTCGTACGTTCAGACTTTGTTTTGGTTTATGGGGATGTCGTGTCCAATGTGGACATCAGCCAGGCACTGCAAGAGCACAGGTGAGCTGTATGTTTGTTGTAGTTTTTGTTATGGTTTTTGACAAAAAAATGTAGTGTAAAAAAAACCCCACTCATCATGTACCTCACGTGTCAAACACAGGCCCGGGGGCCCAAATCTCGCCCGCATTGTAATTATATTTGGCCCGCAAGATCATATCAAATGTGTACTAGAGTTGGCTCGCCAGTATACAGTATAGCCCCTTTATACTGGGGGGGGGATTTGTAGTATTAGCAGTGTATGCGCTATGTTATACAAATACCACTGATGTATTTTTATTTGTAATTCAATTTCACATGTGTTTATAATATTAAGCTTTGGTTGTTCCGGATTACATTTTTACGCAAAACTAAAGTTTGTTTCCATGTGAAAAAACTCAACATTGCATATCTGAAGAAAAGGGAAAACATGCACAATTGCCATTAATTTTTTTATAAATATTGACTTTGGCCTGTCGGTCCAGTTGGTCCCAGTTTTTTTTATTTTGGCCCACTGAATTTGAGCACATGCACAATTGCCATCATTTTTTCTGTAAATATTGACTTTGTCCTGTCGTTCCAGTTGGTCCCAGTTTTTTATTTTGGCCCACTGAATTTGAGATTGACACCCCGATGTACCACATGGCTTGGCCGAGTATTTTCCCACTGCAGCCACTGTGAAATGTACAAGGCTAATGATTATTAAGCACCTAAGCAAACTGTTACAGAGACTAAAAAAAAGGGGGGGGAGGCGGGCCGCACATTAAAAACAGTGTCATTGCCACTGTTTTTGTCCGAGTCAGAGTCAGGATAGGCCATAATATAAGAAGGGTCAGCAAATAGATTGGGGTTAGGGTAAGTAGAAATTAACATCTGACAAAGTCTTAGAGAGGGGTATAGTGATTAGGCGAGTAGCAAGGGCACGGAGATAAGGGATTAAAAACAACAACCGCAGCATGTGAGAATGGCATCAAATACACCTATGTACAACATGTTAGTGGACCAAAAGACCACTAACATAACACTAACAGAGCCACCTGGAGCAGTGTTATTGGGAATAGAAGTACAACAGTGAGCACCAAACATTGTGCACACGTCTCCATTTTCTGCCAACAACATGTCAAGACCCATGCTGTTTTGTGCTAACATAACAGAGGAAACGTTTTCAGAGAGGATTTTACATTACAGTACTTGGTAAAATTGGACAAGTGCTGTAAAGCGTGTTAATGAACATACAGTAGTTGATGCTCCTGAGCAGTTGCAGTCTTTCCTTTTGAAACATTGATAAACAGCTTGGCTTGGTGCAATAGTTGGATTCTGGGGAGCCTTGTGTTTGCGTTCCTACAAAGTCATCTTGTTAGTAACACACACTCTGAGAAAGTTTCACAAGCTGACTGACCGAACCACTGTCAAAATGCACAGTAATAACTCTAAGAAAGATTTGGGTTATAATGTATTTTGACAAGAATCCACCAACTCTACAAAGAAAGATTTGGGTTATAATGTATTTTTATAGTATTGTATATAGTCAATATTTTTCTTGACCTTTTCCACATTAATACATAATTCTATTATCTGGATTAGTATGTGAAACACATACATCTACCTTTTTTGGTATATTTAGGAATAATAATTTTTTAAAGTACCGTATTTTCCTATAAGACTATAAGTCGCACTTTTTTCATTCTTTGGCTAGGTTTGCGACTAATACTCAGGTGCAACTTATATATTGAAATATATAATTGTCTACTAGTATTTGCTACTTATGTAGGCCTACCACTGAAAATGTACATGTTCGTTATTTTCACACTGACAGCCGCTAGAGGGCACTCTAGTCTTGTGTACCAGTATCTGCTACTCCTTTACCATAAAAAATGTACATGTTCGTTATTTTTACACTGACAGCTGCAAGAGGGCAGTGGTGTGACTTTTTGAAAAATACAGTAATTGTGATTATTTGCATTGTGATTAATCCCGATTAATCTACAGCGACACTGTGATCAATTCGTTTAAACTAATGCGATTTGCAAGGTTTCGTAACAACATTATTTGAACCCTTATATTTTATCAGATCAGATTTATTTGTTTATTATTTCTTATGCTGATATATCATTTGTTGTATTGGTCTTGTGTTTAGGCATCGCCGAAAGACGGAGAAGAATGTGTCGGTGATGACTATGATCTTCAAAGAATCAACACCAGGTCACAGGTCCCGCTGTGAGGAAGATGACATTGTTGTGGTCAATGACAGGAGGAGTCAGAGGATTTTACATTACCAGAAGACCCAGGGATTGAAAAAGTTACAGTTTCCTATGGTTAGTCACATACACAATTTCTCTGAGATTTGAAATGCCCAATGCCTTTCGGGAACCCTGAAATCATTACCGTAATGTCCAGACTATTAAGCACACCTGAATATTTAAAAAGAAGAAAATAATTGTACATATATATATATATATAAGTTACGTCATTAAAACTTCCTTCATGAACCGAAATAAATTCATCTGTTTACGAACAGCTGGTTACACGTTAGCTCTTTCCTGCTTCGGAGCCCTGACCATAGTTGAATGCACAGGGGAGACTTAGTGATCTGCTCCAGGCCCGAAGCTAACATTAGCTCTGGGCTAACACTTTTCACTTTGTGCTCGTCCACAGCAGAAACAGGGAATTTGGGGGTCTTTATTATCAGCCACACCGAGCACAACAGAACATAAACAGCGTTTTACCAGCTCCTGTATAACCAACTCGCGCGTCAACATGACAGGGATCAAACTGCTCTCAACTTTCACCCAGAGGTGGGACCAAGTCCTTGCTTTGCAAGTCATAAGTAAGTCTCAAGTCTTTGCACTCAAGTCCGAGTCAAGTCTCAAGTCAAGACAGGCAAAGTCTGAGTCGAGTCCAAGTCAAGACTAAAAAGTGTCAAGTCAAGTCCCAAGTCCTTACGTTTCTGTTTTGAGTCTTTTTACACAAAAATAATAATATATTTACACAGATCACTTTGGGTTTTGGAGAAAGTATCAAGTCAGGTCGAGTCAAAGGGCTCAAGTCCAAGTGAAGTCACGAGTCATTGATGTTAGAAGTCCAAGTCGAGTTGCAAGTCTCTTTACATTTTGTCAAGTCGAGTCTAAAGTCATCAAATTGAGGACTCGAGTTTGACTCGAGTCCAAGTCATGTGACTCGAGTCCACACCTCTGGTTATCTCTCCCACGTGCCCCACGCCATTCACAGACAGACATACTGTACGCTACTAGTATAACGCACAGTAGCCTACCAGAAAAGTCATTGATCGCTAGCCGCATCATTGTTTTAACCGCAGGGTTCAACGTATGTGAATAAAGTAGCAGCTTATAGTCTGGAAATTACAGTATGTATAAAATGTTCGTATGGTACATACAAGTTGGCTATTAACCGTATTTACTCCAAACAGAAGAAGGGTACTGTTGTGATTGTTTGGGGCGGGGGTCTTGCTTTTTATCGGGCGTTACCAACATCTATGTTTACCTTTTGCAGAACATGTTCCACAGCACAAGCGATGAGTTTGAAATCAGACACGACCTGCTCGACTCTCACATCAGTATATGCTCTCCACAGGTCAGGTTTGAAACCGAAACAGGACGTTTTTTTCTATCTGTTTGGTGGCAGTGTTAATTTTTTTTTGTTTTTTTTTGTCCCCTCATTTCAGGTTGCAGAGCTCTTCACTGATAATTTTGATTATCAGACAAGGGATGACTTTGTCAGAGGAATCCTAGTAAATGAAGAGGTACCACACAGCGGCATCATAATGTTTTTGAGTTCCAGTAATCCCTCCCTACTTTGCGGTTCTCCTTTTCGCTCTCTCAGTACATTGTGGATTTTTTTTTTTTTTTTTTTTTTTATTCCAATTTTGTGAGAGTTTCGCTGTATCATGGTAGTTTTCTTTTTGTTATTTCCAATATTTTCTATATCCTCCTCTGTTCGCTCTCCTCTCTCCTTTTGTCCCGACTCCTATTAACATAAGGAGAGGCTTGATTACTTGAATTGCACTTTATTAATTATAATATTATATTTATTTATAATCAGAATGTATTTAACATTGTTTTTCATGGTAGGGTATTTAATTGATTTATGTAATATGTATGTCGTATATTTCCATTATACAACTCTACTGTGCATACATTTTGTGTGGGAAAGGGCAATACAGTCTAGGGAGTGTTGATAACAGTACGGGGGAGGTTCATAAATCTTGCCTCTACTTTGCGGATTTTCCCTTTTTGCAGTGGGTCTTGGAATACAACTACTGTTATAGGAGAGGGATTACTGTATACCAGATTTAAATTTAATTGAAGTTTTCAACAAATACAGTACCAGATAGCAGAGGTGGGACCAAGTCATTGCTTTGCAAGTCACAAGCAAGTCTCAAGTCTTTGGACTCAAGTCAAAATAGGCAAAGTCCGAGCCGAATCCAAGTCAAGACTGAAAAGTGTCAAGTCAAGTCCCAAGTCCTGCCGTTTCTGTTTCGAGTCCTTTCGAGTCCTTCCACTCACTGCCACTCGTTTTTTGTTGACCATATCGTAGTTTTTAAATCCGAACAACGCGATCTTTGGTATCATTTTCTCTTAACCCGTGGCCAACGCGACAGCTCGTTCTCATTGGTTGTCCCGCAATTTGATTGGCCAACGTTTTATTTGATTGGATGTTGTGCCGACAGCCCATACGTACACAGCGCTCCTCAATAACTTAGTTTATAATTTTTGGGTTTTGGAGAAAGTCTCAAGTCTTGTCGAGTCAAAGGGCTCGAGTCCAAGTGAAGTCACGAGTCATTGATGTTAAAGTCCAAGTCGAGTTCCAAGTCTCTTTACATTTGGTCAAGTCGAGTCTAAAGTCATCAAATTGATGACTCGAGTCTGACTCGAGTCCAAGTCACGAGACTCGAGTCCTCCACCTCTGCCAGATAGGACATTGCTTTTCCCGGTGTAGTGTTTAGCCATCTTAAAGCCACGTTCTTAGACCAGGGCTAATGAGGGACCAGTCTATGCAGAGCTGGGTCACAGAACCACAGCATTTATAAAAAGCCCTGCTCTAAAAACTCTCAACTGTTCAGAAGACCTCAAAGGTTTAACAAAATGTTTAAATGGAGATGAAAGACTAGCCATAACAATTTTTAGAAACTAAAAAAAAAATTGGTAAGTAAAGAACGACCCCAAGAAACTGTCAAGTTAAAAATTGTTCAACTTGATAATAGTTATTAAAAATAGATAAATACTAACAAGTTCAGAATTGTAGTCATTTGCCAACAGCTGTAAACTTAGAATAACTAAACGCAGGTTGAAATCTAAAATGTCGGCCCAGTAAAAGTTATAGGTTACCATAAGATCAAATAGATCAAATAAAGCCAAAAGCGACCGAGATATTATGCTATTAATATAACTGTTTTTCTATCTTAGATCTTGGGAAACCACATACACATGAACGTCATCAACGATGGCTACGGAGTCAGAGTGTCCAACCTCCTTATGTACGACTCGGTGTCGTCGGACCTCGTGAGACGGTGGTTTTACCCACTCACTCCGGAGGCCAACTTCACGGACCAGAAGGAATGGAGCTGCACTTACTCTCGTCACAACGTTTACAGAGGCACTGGTGTCAGTCTGGGCCACGGCAGCCAGATGGAGGAGAACGTCCTCATTGGCTGTAATACCAGCATTGGGGCAAACTGCCGCATTTCCCACAGTGTGATCGGTAACAACTGCACCATCGGTAAGTGATGAGATTAAATCCTGTTGGAAATGTGCCCGTTAGAGGTTGGTGTGCTTCACTTTGATGTCTCTCTGTTGAAACAGGAGATAATGTCAACCTAAACCATGCTTACATCTGGAGTAACGTTCACATTGACAGTAATGTGACTGTCAGTCAGTCTGTGCTCTGTGACAACACGGTGGTCAAAGAAAATGTGACACTGAATAAGCAGTGCGTCCTTGCCTACAATGTGAGTATTATTGTATTATTTCCTTTTAAGAATAAGCATGTCGTTTTATTTTAAAATACAGTTGGGTTTTACCCCAGGTTAAAAAAAAATTGTAATAATGTGCATAAAGAAGCCAAGGAAAGATGGATGCATCTTTTCCTTTACAGACGAGACATTCCTATATGTCAAAAAAAAAGTTTCATTTCCATCATTTACACTTTACAATAATGGCGTCTGCAAGACTTTGGGCCCCCATGCAAAGTCAGTCTCAAAGGTTTTGAATGCCCGGACTCATCTGACCTTGCCCCCCAACAATCGGCACCATTGGTTCTTCTAAGCAGTGGTCTAGAACTATGAAACTGAAAATAGTTGACGCTCACAACGCAGGAGCAGGCTATAAGAAGATGGCAAAGTGTTTTCAGATGCCAATATCCTCTGTTAAGGAATGTAATTAATTGAAATGGCAGTCATCAGGAACGGTGGAGGTTAAAGCAAGATCTGAAAGATCCCACGTTTGACTGCACGGCCCCTCCAGAAAGATCTGGCAGACACTGGAGTTGTGGTACGCAAATTCCACAATAAAGAGATACTTGTACAAATATGATCTCCATGGAAGAAATTATACAGAAGAAAACCTCTTCTACGCATGTCCTCACTACTGCAAATGAACATATGGACAAGCCTGATGCATTCTGGAAACAACTTCTGTGGACCGATAAGGATAAAATAGAACTTTTTGGCCGGAATGAGCAACGAGGTACGAAGTTAATGAAAGGAACCTCTGTCCAACTGTTAAGCACGGGGGGGGTGGATCAATCATGCGTTGGTGTTGTATTGCAGCCAGTGGCACAGGGAACATTCCACGTAGATGGAAGAATTGATTTAATACAATTTCAGCAAATCTTCGGACACTAACTTGATGCCGTCTTTGAAAAAAAGCTGCAGTTAAAGTTAAAGCTTTTACAAATAGATAGATGATCCTAAAACGCACCTCAGAATCCACTGTGGATTACATCACAATCTCCTGACCTCGGCATAATTGAGAATCTATGGATAGACGTTAAAAGAGCAGTGCGTAAGAAATCTCAAAGAACTGGAAGACTTTTGTAAGGAAGAATGGGCGAAGATACCTCAAAACAAGAATTGAAAGACTCTTGGCTGGCTACAAAAAGTGTTTACAAGCTGCGACAGGGGGCAGTACAAGGCAGACGCCATTATTTTGTTTTCGGTTATTTTGAAAGTGTAAATGATGGAAATAAAATCGAACTTTTTTTTTTTTTTTTGACATATTATGATAAGAATGTCATATCTGTAATTTGATGCCTTTTGGAGATTTTTCCATTTTTCTTACCTTCTTAGCCTACCAGAAAGGTCATTCATTGCTAGCGGTATGAACTCTGTTAGCCCGTAAAAAATCCATAAATTAGCTGCATCAAACACTGCTCAATCAGACGTTCTCTTTTCAGTTCAAACACCGTAATGTACTGTGTTCAGAATGAGTTGTGAAATGAAAAGTGGCTTTAAGTGCACCCAACCTAATAAATATTGTTCAATTAGTTTTCTATGACATAAGAAACATATTTGCAGCTTATAATATTTACCAGAGTTGGCTCAATGTGGTTGTGAGTCATTTGTTTGCAACTCTGGTACGGCCAGTATTTTCAGCCTCTAGGACAGGCGTGGGTCAGGAGACAGGGGGGGGGCGGGTCAGGAGGCTTACCTTATTGATTGTGTAAAAAGAGAAAAAAAAATCAATTAATCAAAAACTGTTCATGGTTATTAATGAAAAGTAATTACCTTGAAATCCTTGTATATTGTCATTGTACATTCATCTCTACTTTAAAATCCTGACCTTAGTGCTAATATTAAAGTATAGGTTGTTAAATTAGTGCAAAGTCAAAAAGGTCATTTGGGGAAAAGGTCATTTTATATTTATAAGATATCATATTTATTATTGACGACATTGTAAACGTATAGCGCAAATGTTTGAAATATTAATCATCAGAGGTGGGACCAAGTCACAAGCAAGTCTCAAGTCTTTGCACTCAAGTCCGAATCAAGTCTCAAGTAAAAATAGGCAAAGTCCGAGTCCAATCCAAGTCAAGGCTGAAAAGTGTCAAGTCCCAAGTCCTGCCGTTTCTGTTTCGAGTCCTTTCCACTCACTGCCACTCGTTTTTTGTTGACCATCTCGTAGTTTTTAAATCCGAACAACACGATCTTTGGTATCATTTTCTCTAACCCGACAGCTCTTTCTCATTGGTTGTCCCGCAATTTGATTGGCCAGCCAACGTTTTATTTGATTGGATGTTGTGCCGACAGCCCATACGTACACAGACTCGAGTCTGACTCGAGTCCAAGTCATGAGACTCGAGTCTGACTCGAGTCCAAGTCATGAGACTCGAGTCTGACTCGAGTCCAAGTCATGAGACTCGAGTCTGACTCGAGTCCACACCTCTGTTAATCATTCATATTTTAGGACTACATTGCAAATTACGTTGCATATATTTGATTATTTTTCAACATTAAAAAAGAAATGTCGCTACGCTGTGGCTTTGTTCAGCTTGATCTAGTTACCTGTTTTTTTTTAACATTCCCATAATCTAATAGATCAAACGTTTTATTGTTAATATTTTTATATCTCGATTGACTGCGAACCATTTACAGGTGGTGATCGGACCAAACTTCTCTCTTCCTGAGGGCACTGTCGTGTCCATGCATCACCCAGAACAGGAGGAAGAGGATGATGATGATGATGAATTCTTAAGTGATGATGCTGATATTGGTGAAAGTAAAGGAAAAAACAAACAAAAAGGTGAGCATTGACCCAACAAATTTGCAACAGATTTATTGATGATTGGTTTTTTTTTTGGCATTCAACTATGTTGTGTTGCTTTCAAGTTTTTAATCCAGCAGAGGTTGGCGCAGAAGGACAAGGCCACATTTGGAAGGCAAGCAACCTAGACGATACTGAAGACGAGGAGCTGTCACAGTGTCTCTGGGGTGAGGTGGAATCCTGACGTTTTGCGTTATGAAGCCCTATTCCGTAGATCTTTTTAATGCCAATGTCAGCAGACTATAATTTGCTTCCCCATTCCACAGGGTTAGTGTTAAACCCTGAACTTGAGAGTGACAGTGAGGATAGCGAGCCTGATGGCCAAGATGATCCTCAAATTCCGTCACCGGAGATGGACGACGTTAAAGGTGAGAGAGTTGGCCAAGATATTTATTTAAATTTGTTTAAACATGAACCAGTCATCATAATTCGTTCACTTTGCACTGAGTAAAACTACCTGCGTTTTATTGCCCAACCAATTTGACTGTGGTGGTTGTAATGCCACATGTTGTGAAGTGCGACGAAAACATTGTTCAAGTTAGCTTGTTAGCACCAGCTACAAAATGCATAATGAGGTAGAAAAAATGTATATGAGTCGCTCCGGAGTATAAGTCGCACCAGCCAAAGGATGAAAAAAAAGTGCGACTTACAGGAGTAGCAGATACTGGTACACAAGCCTAGAGTGCCCTCTAGTGGCTGTCAGTGTGAAAATAACAACATGTAAATTTTCAGTGGTACAGGAGTAGCAGATAGTGGTACACAAGCCCATAGTGCCCTCTAGTGGCTGTCAGTGTGGAAAACAAAAAACATCTGAAATATATTTGAATATATAAGTTGCACCTGAGTATAAGTTCCAAACCCAGCCAAAGGGCGGAATAAAAGTGCAATTTATTGTCCGGAAAATACGGTACATGGTCAAAACGTGCATAGCTACCATCTCGTCCAGCAGAAGCTTCGACTTCTGGTCAGGCATGTCGAACCACATTTCACTGAGCAACAGGCAATAAATAAGTCTACAACCGATAAGCCGAGCAACGCAAATGTGAAATGAATTACCGGGACTACAGGCTAGGCCACCGACTGATTCGTCGACACATGAACGCGAGCGACCACTTATCCCACAATACAACATAGACTAGATTAACATCTTTGTCGACAACGGCTTCGTCGAAGATTCGACTCTTGATATGTTGTTGTAGAAGCCGCTGCTTCGATGTACGGTGATGACTAAAATTCACCAACTCTAAGACATTTTTTTTTTTGTTGTACTTAATTTTTTTTTTTCCATCATTTGGATTAGATTACACTGGACTCAAACCAGGAACCTTCCGGACCCAAGTCCACTTCCTTAACCACTAAGCCACCACTGCAGTTTTTTGCAATTATTTGTAATTTTATTTCAGCGATATTTGGCAGAAAATTGATATGCGCAAATAATCTAAAACTAACCTTGTTTTCTGTAGGATCACATGCAGTTATGTTTTTGTTATTGATGGCGTATTTAGCCATGTTACTGTTGCTTTTATTGTCTGTTACTGTCCGTTAAGTAAGTTTTTAATGGACAATAGTTAATAACTGTATCATCGGCAGCCTCGGGTAATGTTAGTGATTAATTAATACAGGGATTCCTCGGTCCGTGACGTGTAACCTTGTTGAAAAAGTTGTGTTCCATTGTGACCGCTTTGTATGTTGGTTGAATTGAATTGACTCTGTGCCTTTAAGACTGGAGTGAATTAGCCCCTCCCAAATCTTCCTCATGTTGTTAATAGGTATACGTGTGGTGTGAAGAGCCTCAAGTTTACACCGACAACACTGTTCTTTCTTAATGTAACGCACGGTTTACGTTGTATATCTTTTTTTTAACGTTTCGGCTTCTTCTGATGCCGTTGCTTTGGAGAAAAGGAAATCCTTTTCTGCTGAAGTGAAGTTAGATGTAATAAAACACCAGCCTGGTTACTTTCACTTTGATTTTGTTCTCATTGGGTTTTTTTTTTTGTACTCGTCTTGATTGCTGTGCCTCTATTTAAAAGTATTCCTGGCCAGCAGGTTCTGTTTTCCTACATATTTTGCGTATGATATGATATGCGGATATTGTCCAAACACTT